TACCGAATTCTACCGGAGGAGAGTTAGTCTGTACTCGTCTTGCTCAGTGTTTGATGAAGCGCAACTTTGGTGCTCATTTGTTTTGTACTCCATTGAAGTAAGTCTCCAAGGATCTGGGGGTGGCGAAGTGGTTTAAAAGTGTCGATCATGTGCTTTCGTGAAAATACCGGTTCGACAAGGTACTTGTTGCAGCCTACAGATGAAACTTCCCATACTAATGCCATTCGACAAAGTAGTTGAGGTGCGCCAGCACCTGGGAATTCGACGACATCGTCCGACACGCATACATGTTATCTCCAAGCTTTTATTTTAACTTTCTTTCTTGTGTGCCTACTGGTCAGTGTGTCACAATATGTCTCGATCATGCCTCCTATGTATTTGATTGTATACGTTATACACGGATAATGTGTAGTACCCAATTCAAGGTTAAAATGAATGAAATCTAACAGAAAAAATTCTCACTAGGATTTAGGAACTAATCACTTGTTAGACACTAATGAGGAGTTTAGATTAACACTGATCTGACTTCAAAGTGTGACAGTGAAGAATACTGAAGATTGCATACCAATGTATATTTTCAGCATGGAGAAACAAAAACATGTAACCCATTGATGTAGGTAGAACACTGGACTACTAAGTTTCCAATTCATCAAAACGCATCTAAATTGCTCTATTTCATGTGATCTTAGCTCTTCAATAGCATCTATCAGTCACAAAGTGTGCTTACGCCTGGTTTTCCAATACTGTTCAAAATACTGCTGTGGAAATCTCGAAAGAAACTGAGGAAAAGTGTTGCAGGTTATATTACAACGTGCTTTCATTCTTTCGCACGTTAGGTGGTATAAAAAGGTAAGTAATGTTGACGTTAGGCGTAGAGTGTTGGGCAAAGAAGGAAAATCAATCGAAGAGGCTATAAAGCTACATAGATTGAGATGACTAGGTCACGTGCTGCGAAGGCCTAACCATCGCCTCCCCCGACGGACGGGCATTACTAGCTGATATAGGTGCAGGTTGGAAATGAGTAAGTGGTGGCCAAACAAAAACATGACATCAATCCATGAAATCCCTGACAGTTAAACTGAGTCAAGTAGGGAGATGCAGACTTCCAGGTTGGGGCCCTCGGGACTCTAAGAATCAATGGCTGGAGACAGACAGTAGGTGACATGGCTCAAAATCGTTGTCAATGGCTTACGCAGATGTATTCAGTCTCTGTAATCTTTCATATTCCTTTCTACCATTACTTATTCTGTTTCACTCTTATACTTGTCAAAACTCTATTGATTTTCTTCACTCATTTTCTTGTCTACCTTTGTGTGCTATTTGGAACGTGGCAACTCGAACTGGTGCACTTCGGTGCCAAGTTCTATGCTGAATCCAGATAGCAGAAAACGTTCCTTGAATAGAAGAATATTACCGATTATTATTTCCTACTTGAATATTTCATACAAAGAGTAAATATTTCGCAATACAATATGCTTAAGCTTCTGGATAATGTATGAACGCAGTTTACAGAACAGAACTGCTATTATTGATGTTATTATTATTGTCAAGATCAAAACCCTAGAGATGTAACGTGAACTGCCTCATGTCTCTATGATGAATAATAAACTCGAAAAGTCTGATAAGAATATCAAATATCTTTTATTCATTTATACACAATTGTTCAGAAAATGACTTTGGTATTTGTTCTTTAAAAAATTGAAAAAAGGGTTTAAAAAATAAAACAAAGGTCTTGTGAAATATATGGAAAGTGGTATTATTATGATTCCCTAGGGTTCCAAGTGGAACACAGGGCTTCAACAACACATCTGCACTTTCTTCTATTTTCTGCCATCCTCTTCATCTGGGTCCACGAGTGACTGTAATCTTCCATGTTTCTTTTTCGTCGTAAGACTTCCTGCATGTCACCCTCGTACCCGACGACTCACTTCTCGCTTTCTATTAGGAATCCACTCCAGGTTATGCCTAGCAGGCGATGTCATTTGATGGCCTCCTCAATTTCCAACAGGCCACCTCAGGCTCTTATCAACAGCTACTTTTGTTCAATTCTGATAAGATAAGATGGCCAGCGAGAAACAATTATCAACAAATAACTCTGGCAACGAACCAAACAAGAAACTATTACTCAACAAATATGTAAAAGGAAATGAAGACGAATCGTAACGCACAAGCCAGACACTGGAGTCGAATCTGAATGAGAAAAGAAGAACTGAGCGTCGTTACGAGGGTAACATAGAGGAGATCATGTTAGTGAGAAGATGAAAGCCGCTGACGGGAAGTCGTGGGGCCCAAATAAAGAGGACTACAGAGAATAATGGTGCAGCGGAGATGTGCTGTTGTTGAAGCCCTATGTTCTACTAGGAACCCAAAGGAACAATCATAAGAAAATAAACGAGAAACATGTGTTTTCTTTCTGTTCGACTCTTGCAGACAGAGTTTCCAACCCACCTTGTTGGAAATATTTTCATCGATTCTCAGTACGCTCTGTGTACCTGAGACTCTATAGCTGCCAGACAGCATTATTAAAGTAGTTTTGTATTTTTAATATAAATTATTATTTTCTAAAAAAAGAATGGTTACTGAACAAATAATACTCTTTTCGATAACTTCAACATCAGAAAATTCTCATTTTATTGGCAGTATATGGATGACATCTTCATTCTTTGTGGCAATGATACGGATAGGAACACAAGAATAACTCAATTCAATGAAGTACATTCTACTACGAAATTCACGTACGAAGAGGAATCCCAAAATAGAATTAATTCCCTTCCTAGGTGCTATGCTTACAAGAAAACCAGATGGTACTATAAAGAGGCATTTGCCCAGGAAAAGTACATGGACAGGACAATGTACACATTGTGATAGCTTCGTTCCTCTCCAGTACAATGGAAATTTGGTAAGGACCCTCAGTCACAGTGTTAGAGCAATATGCTCAGAAGAAGCAAAAGAAGATGAATTAATGATTGTATATGATACTCTAATTGAAAATAGCTATTCAAAATGTTCATCAAGAAACACATGACTCAGAAAGTTGAAAATGACTATTCACTATCCGTGAACAAGAAGCCCTTATACATACGACTGCACTACAGGGCGATATCTCTAGTGAAATAATTTCTAACAAATTCAGAAAAACAGTTTAGAGAACTTTTAATGCTGACAAACTACAAGTCATGTTTGCCCTCACAACCTGTGGTGATTCCTCAATTGAAAGATGAAGTACTTGGGCTAGCTAACCACTTCTAATTATATATACCGATTCAACTGCGCTTGTGGTGAACTGAGTTATATTGGCCATTGCTTTAGGAACTTGATTTTTCGTGCTCACTCGGGAAAATCTACCATCAGCACCTCGATGTTAGACCACCTGGTCAAAACTGGCTACAAAGACAGCAATGAAAAATCCTTCTCTATTATCAATCGGATACCGAATAAATGGCTAAAATTATCCAGGTACCACCTATTCTAAACAGCAGAAGCTATCGCGATGCACCTAGGACAACTGGTGCCCTGTGTGCAGAAGAAGCATATCCCGCCAGTGAGTGACCTGGCAGGTCTTCCCGGGAGACTATAAATTGAGGAATTCTGTATTACTATTATTATCATTTTTCCTAATTTGCCAGCCGGATATTCAGTGTGTAGTGTTATGTTGATGCTGTCAAATTGTAATCCATTGATATTATTATTATTGATTCTATGTTATTTAAACAATATTAATGTTGTTAGTAATCCTAATTCATTCACTATTATTTATGTATATATAACTGTAGAACGTGATGAAGAGCAGCTTTTCGAAAAGAATATTCTTAGTTCAGTAACCATTCTTTTGATGAAAATTTTAATGAGCATTTTGATCGGTTAAATTATTATTGTTGTTGAATGAGACCACAGATTCTAACACTGTCAAACGTCAATTTTGATATGTTTGGAATATAATTTTGGAACTGTAGGTCACTAGTAGAAGTTTAGCAAGAGGTATACAGAAGAATGCATCGACTAGTAGTTCCCTGTGTTAAGATCATTTGTTCAACAAAAAGCAACAAACTGTCAAAGACAATACATTTCCGTCTTCTTTGTATTACAGAAGCCCTAGCCATTCAGTTGGAAGAACCAGAACTATGCATAAAAAGAAAATTATACAACCACTTCTACTACCATGATAACAACTCTGTTGATTTGACTAAACTTTTGCTTGTATGCTTATTTTTCTGAAAAACTGCTTAAACTCTTGCGTAACTCCGTATGTTATTTTGTTCCCATGTACACCCTGAGGACAACTCTTTCGTCACACTATACATGTTATTACGTAAGTCTTCTTTAACAATCGTTTGTGACAACTCATCACTTTTGTTAGCACCCTCTTATTTCAATATCCAATTCATGTGAACTTACTAATTTTTAAGTATTGGTTTTGTTTGATTGGAAGGAGGATTTCATCATGAGCTGACATCAGTTGGAGAACCCTTGGAAAACCTTGGAGTACTGGATAGCTGTTTCATCCTAGTTTGGGACTCTTCAGCAGTGTGCACCAACCATCGGGGTTCAAACCCAGCACCTCCTGGTTACAAGGCGTCTTCGTAGGGTCCCAGTGGCTGAATGGTCTACGAGTTCGCCTTGTAACCAGAAGGTGCTGGGTTCGAACCCTGGTGGTGGGTGAGACCTGATAAAGAGTCCCAAAATAGGACGAAACAGCTGTCTAGTACTCCCAGGTTTTACAGTAGTTCTCTAACTGATGTCAGCTTATGATGAAATCCTCCATTCAAACTTACTAACTGTATTTTAGTTCGGCTAAATAAATAATCAACTAACTTCAAAAAGACTATAGACATTTATTCCAGTTAGAAAATACCGTTTTGACCAAATACAATGAGTTAAAATATTCAACAGATAACAACGACAACATTCACCAGGATATTGTCATTCACATTGAAAAAAATAAATAAATACGGAATATATTATTAAAAGGAGAAAACAAGCAATAAAGTTACGTGGTGATGCTGAAAATTCCATACTATACTGAACACACTTTTTTTATATAAAGCTGTTTTTATTATTATTATTATTAGAAGTAGTAGTAGTAACAATGATGCATAGAGATGAATATTGGACATCTTCTTAGTTGGGTTGCACACACCTCATTGACGACGGGAAGAAATAAAGCAGAAAAATGCTCAGGACGGAACACCAGCAAAAACCAACACGTGAGCTAAATCATTGAATTCATAATCACGATTCATGGTCAATTCATGAATGCATACACCGGAGACCATCTGAAAAAAATAAAGAGACGAACAAAGGATCTAATACAGCATAAAGACTTTTTTCCTTAATATATATATTTTAATTCAAAATATCAGTTGTAAGGTATGTTGACCGTACCTAGCGTTTGCTATCCAAGCACATCATCGAACACCTACCCTCAAATTAAAAAAGAAATCCGCCCCCACCCCGTGACACACCTCCATCTTGTAACACCTGAAAGAATCTAGACACCTTAAAATCACCGACACATTACACGGGAATCCTGCTGAAAAAGAATGAATCAAACTTCTCCAAGTAGCAGAAGAAATAGCAATTCATGTATTAAATGCCAAACTCTGTACACAGATGACGAGGTTTGTTCAGTCATTAAATCCACAATGGACCTGATCTATCTCAACACTGGATACGTAATTTTTGTTTCTTAATTGTATAATTCCCCCCAGCTGCCATTAAATTTCTACCTCTTATTACCACTGTTGTAAACTTGACTCTTGTTCAATGTTACTTGAATTCCACTCAATCCCATCAATTACATTACATTACCTTACTCAATTTAATTAATTTATTTTATTTTAATTTATTTCCGATTAATGTTTTGTATATTACATAATCTATCTAAAATTTTCAATTCTAACGACACATCTTTGGAAGTATTCCTTTTGTTGCTCAGATTGTACACCTTGAGTAGGACATCGCTGAAAAAAAGCAACTCTTCGCTGAACATCTTTTCTTTTATGACTGCAAAAATTGTTTACAGTAGTGGGCGTTTTTATAAATACTGAATTTAAAATAATGGCCATCATTTCATCTTCGTCTCAATGTGTATACAATGAAGTACTATCATTTCCTTTCCTTCGGTTCCTAGTGGAACAAATATATAGCTTCAACAGAAGATCGGCATTTCATCCTATTGTTCTCTGAAGCCTTTTTATTCTGGTCCCACTTGTTGACTGGAAGTTTTCGTCTCCTCCTCCTCACACGATCTCTTCCCTGTCACCAACCTTGAAAGGACCAACTAGTCAGCTAGATTACTAGCTCATCCTAAACTTACAAAAGTAGGGAAAGTTGGTGGCCAGAGGGCTAGTGATCCTACCCCCAAAAATCAATTCATTCGCTAAAGAAACTTCACACAAAACAATGATGTGTATGTAATTCAAGAAAATACAAAAACCTAATAACATGTCATCTGAATAAATGCAAATGTACCTCGGCGGCATGGCGGTTGTGACTCTCGCCTACCATACATATGGTCCGGGATTCGATCCCCGGCCAACGCACTCCTTATATGTCTGATTTCCCACAAACTAGAAGATATGCAAATGAAAAGCAACAAGTTGGCGGAAGAAGCATCAAAGATAGGACTTCAGATGAACATAGAGAAAACAGAGGTGATGAAGATTCCTTGGCAGCACCAACAGCAGCAACAACAACAGCAGACAACAATCAGCATATATGAGAGGAACCTGAAAGAAACAACCTCCTTCACCTACCTGGGAAGCATCGTTTCAACTACAGGCGGAACTGAAGAGGATATCAAAGGAAGAATCGGGAAAGCAAGACAAGCTTTCACTACTCTCAAGTCTGTGTGGAGGTCAACAGCACTCAGCATCAAAAATAAGGTCCGGATTTTCAACTCCAATGTGAAGTCAGTGCTACTATACGGATCAGAGACTTGGACTCGCGTCATAATGAGCACCTCAAACAAACTACAGACCTTCATTAACAGCTGTCTTCACTCAATACTCAAGATCAGATGGCCAGAAAAGATCAGCAATAGAGATCTCTGGGGCGAACCAACCAGGAACCAAATGTGAAACAAATAGGCAGGAAGAAATGGAGATGGATTGGCCATACTCTGAGGACATCACTAGACAAGCCATTGCTCGAGTGGAACCCGAAAGGAAAGCGGCGAGTTGGTCGTCAGTATGAGGGTGACTTGGAGGAGGTCATGTGAAGAGGAGATGAAAGCATGTGAGCAGACTTGGAGCCAGGTGAAAACTAGCGGAGAACCAAACGCAGTGGAGACGCGCGGTTGAAGCCCCATGTTCCTCTAGGAATTAAAGGAAATAATGATAATAATAATAAATGCAAAAGAATGTCTAGAGGATAGGTCAGATGAAACTAAACACTCGAGCATATTCTCAGTAATAGGATTTACAGCTACACTCCAAAAAAGGGATTCTTTCAAGTTTGGCCACGGATTGCTATCAGTTATAGAACTGTTGAAAAGCAGTAGGGATTACTGGACAACTGTTTCACTTGAATTCGAGATGCATTGGAAGTATGTATCCCTCCACTGCCAGGGTTCAGAACACAGGACCTTCTGGTTATAAGTGACGCTAATTAGTAGACCATTCGTTCAGCCACTGGGACTAGACTCAATGACCTACCCGTGAATTCCAACTTTCACCGATTCGCGATTTTAGTACAACCACCAGCCAATGTAATTGGCGAGTATCCGTCCTCACACTTGACCTGGTGGACCCCATTGATCACTGTGTGTGTCATCCGAAGTGATGACAACCAGTAGTGTCTGTTAGGGATGCCTGCTGTCCCAATTTCTGTCTAATTTCATTACAAATGTACCAGAGGAATTGATCCTAACTGACTTCAGAGACTAAGGGATTGAATTATTAACACGAACGGTCTTGTTGATTAGAATATGCAGATGATATACTTAGTTCTTCTACGTGATGAGCCTGATAAACTGCAGGAAGTTCTGAAAACCTTGAGCAGGAATCTTCAAATGTTTAACACGCAATATGCTCCTGTTCAGCATAGGATGATGCTACAGGATTGGATTACATAGACTCACTCCTAGTTTGAAGATAGGAAGTGGAGGGTGAGTAATACTGAGGTTAGGCGTCTAGTGTTGGGTAAGAAAGGTAAGTCAATTGATGAGGTTATGAAGCTACAGCGAAACAACATGTGTTACTCATGCCTAGATATCGCCTTCCTCGACGGTCAATGTTAGCTGACAAAGGATCAGGTTGGAAGAGAGTTAATGATAGTCAAACGAAAACATAGTATGGGTTCATTAAATCCTTAACAGTTAGTTAGAGCCATGTAGGCAAGTGTAGATTACCCGGTTGGGTTCCTTGGGATGGTAAGAATCAATAACACGATACAATTGGTGCAGATGCGATCCCTCTTTGTGATTTGACATATCCAATAAAACTCTATTGTTTTACATGTTACTACTCTTTTTTTTCACATTCCTGCTAACTGTCGTTCTTCCGAATCTCTTTTTCCTCTATCGTCTTCCTTTTTTTGCTTCAGGGAGTGTGCTTCACTTCTGTGCAAAGTTCTATATTGAAACCAGTCAGTCAGACCGAGGCTATGAACGCCACAGGAAAACAGTTCAAGATGAAGACCGTAGTCTATCCACCCTCGGCCGTACCATATATATGACCGGTGTCTTCTGGTTATTTCATTTATTCCCGAAATCATATTGTGCACATCATTCAAATAAATTGAATCTTCGTATTGACTTTGTTGAAAATCACTAAGGGAAACTACTAATTGCTTTAGACAGCAAACAACATGACAACAGTTGCTTCATTAACTAACTAACTGACTAACTGAAAGAGAGTAGAAAATAGAACAATTTTAATTTCTGACAGAAATCACAACAGTAACACAAAAAACTAACAGTCAAACAAAGAGAAACTATATGACAATGTCAAAGAATATTCAGAAAAGTAGCATGGTTAACCCTGATAGGCATGACTGTCCCTACACACGCACGCACATATGCGAGCGCTAGCTAACATACTTGGAAATGTTCTACTGAATTTGTGAATATATAAAAGTTAGAAGGTTATTCATATCACTATTCAAGAATAGCACAGAGATATGGAAGCGCATTGATGACAGGTAAGTAGGTAGGTATCTCTGCTAGGCGAATAAGAGTGGCACGCGAATTCTATCAAAAGTCAACAAAATGTAGTGAATATTTAAAAAAAACTTAGCCGCTATTTTTAGGAAGAGGAAGTCAAAGAAAAAAGAGGTAGCTGGGAATTAAAACAGACAAAGTGGAATGGAAAAAGCGCTATGATAATTCTTTCAAACCTGTATACTTATTCAAAATCAGTAAATAAATATACGAATTGCGTGATAAAGTGATGGCGTGATGAACAGAATCATCGGTGTATCATCACAAATGTGATACATATGTATACAACAGGATTTGAGTAGCGAGAAAGGTGACGTAACTAGGAAGTCTATACTGATGCGATGGAGAAATCAAATAGTTGAAAAGAATGACAGACGGAAACATGAATTTACATAAGAGTGTATCATTTCGCATTTCATTTTCATAGTAAAAGAAACAAGAATGTTATTATGGTGGTTGACATCCAGTCTAGAAATAAACCAATCAGAATTTGGCCCACGTGATTGATCGATTTCCAATCAGGAAAAAGACCAATAAGAATTGGCCTCTGTGAAATAACTTAACTATTTTATTGATCATGATTACAGACAAAACTTTAGGTGAACATAGAGAAGTCAGAGGTGATGAAGATAACCAACCAACCAATCAACAACAACAAACATTAATTACTATCAACGGAAGAAATTTGACAGATGCCGCTTCCTTCACTTATCTGGCGAGGGAGCATTGTTTCAACTATATGAGGAACAGATGAAGATGTCAAAGCCAGTATCGAAGAAGCAAGGTACGTCTTCATCATTCTAAAATCCGTTTGGAAATCTTAACTCACAATAAGGAAGAAAATCTGGATCATTAACACCAGTTCTGGTATATGATTCAGAAACTTGTCGTGCGAGTCATTAAAACATTTTGAACAAGCTGCAGACTTCTACCAACCGCTGAAGATCGAATGGTCAGAAAGAAATAGCAAAAAGAAACTCTGACAACAAACCAACCACGAGACGATTTTTTAAAAACCATACAGGAGAAAATGAGGATGGATTGGGCACATACTGAGGAGACCATCAAATGACATGGCTCGCCAAGCGATCTCCCAAGTGGAACCTGCATGGG